AGATGTCCTTTATGATTAATCTATACTACCCACATTTGCTATTTTACTTTACTTGCTTGATAAGAAGGAGAAGGAATACCCGCGCGCTTCACAGGACGTAAATCGACATTTAGTAAATAGCTATTAGGCAATTTTCGCAGTTCAGAAAGGTTTGATCTTTCAGTTCAAATTCAATTCAGTTCACAGAAAAAGGCACTTTCAGTTTTTCTCGATTTTTCCATTTTTTAGGGCAACTTTCTAAATTTTTCCTTTCCTAAACACTTTATTCGAGCTATTGTAAAAATTTTAACCAAATCGGTCTAACTGTTCTCAGATGATACGCTTACCAATAAACATTTAATTTTTTATTTATACATATAGATAATATATTATTACATCATCAAAGTTTTTTTGTATATTAAAATCTACAATAAACATGAATTTATTTTAACGAAGATAAGTGTAAGGCATACATAAAATTTCAGCAACAAATTAAATATGCTAAGAAAAAATAACAAAATCTCAAAGAACAAAATGCAAACTCGGAAATATCAGTTGTCCTTAAATTTTCTTGTCATGGCATGAATAGTGCACTACATTTCCATTAGCATATCTTACCAATGCACTAAAAATAAAAGTTACGTATTTATATCGTAAAAATAAAGTCAGATTTAATTTCATTATCATAGTGTTATACTAATGCTATACTAAATTCGGAATAGTAAAACACAAGAAGATGACAGTGTCTCACGTTGATAAGTCTCACATTAGAAAAAGGCGAAACACGTGTCTACAGTGAACAAGTTTCGCGGTAATTAGGATGAGTGTCCTTCAAGTTTATTTATTTGACGACCTTATGATGATGATGATAACGGTTATTTTAAATGATTCATAAATACTTCTACAGTATTACAACTTAAAAAAAAAATACAACGTGTAATTATACAACACGCTACTGAAGTGAAACTTCTTGAAACACCCAAACATACAACAGGCCGGAGTTGCTTGTAACGAACGTTACATTGAAGCGCGCTCACGGCTCAAGCGATCCCCACTACGAACTCGAATACGTGGCCGCGTAGAGGCGGGACATCCGTTGCATGATTTCGTTACGTAGCAACTCGCATGAAACGAACTTACCCTACCGTGCGTAAAAAAGTTTCACTTCAAAAAAACAAATTGCATTACTTACTGCTTAATGGTCGTATTTCAATAATTACCTTTGATGACTAAATCGTTTCTTGCAGACTGGGCAAATATTAAGATCGGTGATTACAACGCATTGACTTTGTAATCTCAAACGAGCCTCCTGACCCTGCAGATGTTGGGCGTATAATAATCCCTTTAACAATTGAACAGTTCTCCGTACGTGTAGAGATTTATGCAATGCGGCCGACAAAAATTGAAAGATGCGAGTTGCTAATACGTTATCAGGTATTATTTGCAAAGCTGATAAAGGATCGATCTTAGATGCATGTTCTTCCATTAACTTTAGAGCCATTTCTAAATCAGGTTGAGCAGTAAGTGGGGACAATGTTAATCCCGGAAGATCCAAAATTACGTCATTTGGATTTAATACCAGTTTTATAAGACAAACATAAACCTACAAAAACCACAAATATACTCAACGTATGCATATAATGTGCATTACAGTTTTTGTAACTTTAGAAAATACTCATTAAATCAAACTATAACATTTTAAAAACGGTAGAAAGGGGACATGTTTTCATGGGTGTAGGAAGTACTTTACTTCAATAGACGCAAAAATAATCACAATTAACTTTTCACATACACATACATATATTCGTACTGCCTATTCTTCAAATGCTACAAAAAGAAAACATTAAAAAACTAACATCAATTTTATATTTATTTTGAAAGACTCCCTGAGCACATTTTTTTTTAATTTTCTCTAACAATGAGCTAGCTGAGAGAAGAGGTGTAAACGTGTCTCATTTACCATCTCCATGTACGTTAGGTACTAACTCTTCTACTGATTTTCTGGGGGATTTTTTGTAAAATACATATAAGAACATATTAATTTTGTACCTTTTTTGCATTCTCGTTCTTATTGAAAACATTTTCGCAATATTTTATCGCTTTCTGTACGTCGCCAAGCGCTCTAACGTAAATAGCCAATGCATCTTCGTGTCGACCAAGTTTTCCCAAAACAATAGCGCGTTCTTCCAATAGTCGATCATTCGGAAAATGCATTAAGACCATATCGGGTGTGTAATTAGATGACGTTTCCAAAAAGTAGAGCAATTTTTTTTTAGCAATCTCCGCAGAAGGATTGTCACTTAATGATTGTTCGCGGTATTGGTGTATTAAGGCATTGTGAAAAAGAGGATTTTTATCACCCCATATGTGAACAACGTGTTCTAAATATGGAATTACTAACGTAGGATGAGAACGTAAAAGATAATCTAACACTCGAGGCCTGGGTAAAGCTTCCACTTCTGCCAAATCTTCTGTAAAAATCTGCAAAGATATGGATAGTATGTAATGATCATGTGTGAATACTATAACCGTGATTTCGTTATTTTGAATCGACTAAACACTAAGCGATATCCGTGCCCACCAAATTCTCCATCTTACCTTTAACCCGTCTTCAGCAGCTTCTTTAAGAACCCAATCGGAAAATTCTAAAATCAAACCCATCTGTTCTACACCAAGGTGCTGCAGATAAGCAATCGTCCTTTCAATTCCCCCTTCGCTGTTTTGTAACAGTTCGAGAGCTTTTCTGTGCTGCCCTTTAGTTTGATATAATATAATAAGTTCATTATGTTTTCCGTGCTTTTTTAACGTTCTTTCTGCTTCCGCAAGATGACAATGATTAAGTCGTAATAATGGCGCAACCAAAACGTCGTTGGTTTGCAAATAACATTTTAAAAGGGTTGTATCAATGATCTGAAGTAACTGCTGACTCGTTTTATTTGTAACAATTTGATCATTTAATTTACCACTAGCGTTCATACCTGCCTAAAATAAGCATTATTGAAGTAGACATTAAATTATTTTGGTTTCTATACACGTATACGTTCTTTTGCTAACCTCCGATTCCACGTGCACTAAATAACGTTTTTCTGTGAGATACTCAATAAGTGCAAGTAGTCCTCTTTCCAACTCACTATCGGAAAGGTTTCCTACATATTCTAATTTAGTTGTCTCTCCAGATTGTTGCGGTAATAATTCTGGGAATAAACGTATTACGTCGTACGGGTCTGTGCGTAATTTCAAAAATTGCTGCATGCTCTCATGAAATGCCTTATTTCGAAATAAATCATAGGCTAAGAGGGTTTGAATTTGGTGCTTCTTTTCATCCTTATCTTCTTCCGATTCATTTGAAACTTCCTGTAAATTATAGTTCATATTTATATAACAATCGGAATAGCAGATGAAATCCTTTGAAAGGGAAAATAAATGAATCATTCTTTTGAATTTACCGTTAATTTTAAAGCAAGTTGAAATTGTTTTTCTTTTAGAAGTTGTTGCCTTTGTTGACTAATTTCTATTGCATGTAAACACCAAATGTGACTAACAGAAGACACATAAAGCAAGCCTTGTTTACAAAACGTTATTAATCGAGCCTTCGGTAAATTGCTAAACTTTTGAACTAAACCACCAGGATCAATTGTTTGAACCTAAAACATAATCAAAAGGTAACTTAAAATAAAGGAATAACATCCCATTATTATTTTAGTACATTTACATTATTGGCGAGATAAATCAAATAATATGAAAAATTCAATTTTTACCTCTATGCCTTCTGGTAAAATTCCTATAACATACGGTTTATCCCAGGCCATTTGTATGGGAATGTCTGACCATCTTAAAGCTTTAGTTTTTTCGGGAAGTCCCTCTACATTTACAAGCACTGTTTGTGCATCCCTTCCAAGTGCAAATATGGTATTTGATACTTTCATTGCACAGGGATCGTTAGATCTGCTACTACTGGTTGGAAAAAGTTCTTTTTTTGTTCCATCCAACTTTTAAATACAACACTAATGTAATATCGCTCAGAATCTAAACTCTTTTACCAATGTTAGCAAACTTACATCAAATAGTAGATATTCTCCTTTAAATCCTACACAGATCGTTTCACTACACCATACCAATGCTTTTGGAATATCAGTCAACATTATATCATCGGCAAGCTTCATAAAAACATCTTTCTTCCAATAATACAACTGTAATTTTCTTTTAACCGCTACGCACATTCGAATTACATGACTTACTTCACCAGTTAAAGATGTCTCTTTCTAAAATGTAACCGTGATCAAACTTACTAGCCTGTCACTTTACTTTTGACACTAACTTGGTATACAGTTCATTTTTCTTACCTTACTATCTAATGTAAAGATCATGGCTCCTTTAGTTCCTGCGACTTGGGTAATTACTGGCAAATTGCTGGACTTCATGTCATTTACTTGTATAAAGTTATCTGTAAATGTAAAATAAGTTAAAATTTTCAAAAATTATTCGTTTTATAGAAGATACGTTTTTTGAAATAAAGTAAAATGAAACATGAGTAAATACAATAATAGGTATTGTTTTATTTATTTGGTTAACGCCTTTAGAAAACAAGAAAAAAGTAATATATTACAATTAGATATGGTATATTTATAAAAAACTAAGCCTTCAAATGTAAAAATTAGTTTCTTAATGCAATATTGTCCTTGGTATCACAAATCTTGTTGCAAAAAATATAAAATGCCCTTATAATACAACTATTTATATCTCTTCCTTTGTTATTTACCATAATTCGCAATATCATACGAAAAGATAACTACCTGTTAAACTGACCAACAGATTATACTCTGGTATTACTTCCAGTTGTTGAATTGATTTTTTACTAAATGTTTTTAGATAACACGTTAGCTCTACTTCATATTTGTCATCATTAGAACAATTAACTCGATATACATAAAGATATCCCTGTCTTGTTCCAACTATTAAATTATCATCTAAAAAAAATGATCGATTTGGAATAGAATGTTGCACATATATTCATATATTTAAATTGATTGATTAAATAATTACCGAAAGCAACAACTGATTCTATTTGAACTGGTAAATTTAACAGCGGCGATATGCAATACGCTTCGTGCATTTTTAAACATTGACATTAAAAACTATTTCCAAATTAACTTGTAGTGGTAGTTACGTATCAATTTCACTTATAAATTTATTTATTATTATGAACGACAATGATCATCAATACCCTATTGTTGAAGCTTCGTAAAAAGCCTCATCATTATTACCATAGATATTATTATTAAGAATTGAAAAAAAAGCAGCTGACTTTGCTGACATGTTACTGGTTTTAACATTGACAGCAGTAGGTGGAGCTTTAAGGTTGGGGACCGTTAAGGTAACGTAATGGAAAGCAAGACCATAGACAAGGTGTTCAATCTTCAAAGGCAATTATACGTTAAAAACCTAATGAAAATAAGTCGACATCTCTTACTTAACTCTGAAAATGCATTAGCCTGTACACGTCAAAAATGGTAGTCAAATGACAAGCAGAATATGCTTATTAACGTCGCTACGGTTTTTTTTAAATCAAATTAGTGACCTTGTATTCACAGCTATCTAACATTTTACTTTAAATCCACAATCCCACACATGGCAGATGGCAACATTAGCCCTACTAAGCAAAATTATGGTGATTATACAATCATAACTGGTGGACCCTTTTTATTTTCATATAAAAATTAAATTAAAAATCATCACATTTAGCAATAAGTATATTCATAAAATCGTAACATTTACATAAACATTTAATAATGGATATATTGTTACTTTAATATTCTTCTATTTTATGATAGGTTGCAGTGTATTGTTCTAATTATTGCTTTGCATTAATGATAATTGCAAATTCAGGTTTCAATGAAGCTCCACCAACTAAAAATCCATCTATGTCAGGTTGAGCTGCCAGTTCCTTGGCATTGGCACCAGTTACTGATCCACCATATTGAATTCTTGTACTTTCTGCTACTTCAGGGCTTACAGTTTCCTTTAACCACTTCCTAAGAGCTTGGTGAACTTCCTGAGCTTGAGCAGGGGTAGCAGTTTTTCCTGTTCCTATAGCCCACACCGGTTCATAAGCCAATACCACATTAGACCTAAATTACATGCTAATCTTAAAAAAATTGGTTCTAGAGATAGATTAATAATAATGAATAATAATGTATAAACATTATAAAAAAACGAATTATATTTTACCAATCTTTAGGTTTAATTTTCTCAACAATGGCTTTTGTTTGCCTAAAAACAACTTCTTCTGTTTTTCCTGCCTCTCTTTCTTCAAGTTTTTCTCCAATACAAGCAATTACTTTTAAGCCTGATTCTAAAGCGTGTGCAACTTTTTCTGCTACTAAAACGTCTGTCTCATTGAAAATATTTCTTCTTTCTGAATGACCCAATATCACCCATTTTGCACCAACGTCTTTTATCATAGCTGGAGAAATTTCTCCTGAATAGTAAAAATACCCTATTTAATACTTTACTCATCAATCATAGAAACTTAAAAAATACAAACTTAACACTATTTGTGGCTTTTAAAACTACCTATTTAATTATAAGTTGGTAATTATTTTGGAATAACTTAACAGAACATAAAAATTATACGTAGATTATAGCGAAAAGTGAAGCCGATACGGTTTTTCTCTGCGCAACGTACTCATGCATCTCACAGCGCTCTCCCCTCCACAACAGCAAGTACACAAAGAATAAATATTATTATTATTGATGGTACAACATATAGTCTATTAATTTTGCGCATGCATACTCCATGAAAAGAATTGTGCAAGCGCGAGTACATTATTTTGAGTGGAGATTCTCAGTAATGAACATAGCCATTTTTGCTCACTCTTTTATCACTCCTCTCTCTCTCTCTCTCATATCCTGAGTATAGAAAAGTATAGAAAGCGTGGTGAAGCTATCATAACAAATTACCACTCTTTCTATAATTATGTAATATAGTTTATCAAATCAATAAAAATAAATATTACCTGTAAATGCTCCGTTTGGTACTTTATAACAATTCTGAGCTGCAACTTGCACATTAGGAGGTAAATTTGAAATTACATACTCAATGTAAAGAGCTGGGACACCAAGTATAACTTCAGTATCAGTACTAATTTTTAGATTTTGTAAGATTTCTAGGATTTGTTTTTTATCACCGTTCATTTTCCAGTTGCCACCAACAACAAATTTTCGGCCCATTTTAGTAAATAAATTTGGGATCAGCTATANTTAATGCAATATTGTCCTTGGTATCACAAATCTTGTTGCAAAAAATATAAAATGCCCTTATAATACAACTATTTATATCTCTTCCTTTGTTATTTACCATAATTCGCAATATCATACGAAAAGATAACTACCTGTTAAACTGACCAACAGATTATACTCTGGTATTACTTCCAGTTGTTGAATTGATTTTTTACTAAATGTTTTTAGATAACACGTTAGCTCTACTTCATATTTGTCATCATTAGAACAATTAACTCGATATACATAAAGATATCCCTGTCTTGTTCCAACTATTAAATTATCATCTAAAAAAAATGATCGATTTGGAATAGAATGTTGCACATATATTCATATATTTAAATTGATTGATTAAATAATTACCGAAAGCAACAACTGATTCTATTTGAACTGGTAAATTTAACAGCGGCGATATGCAATACGCTTCGTGCATTTTTAAACATTGACATTAAAAACTATTTCCAAATTAACTTGTAGTGGTAGTTACGTATCAATTTCACTTATAAATTTATTTATTATTATGAACGACAATGATCATCAATACCCTATTGTTGAAGCTTCGTAAAAAGCCTCATCATTATTACCATAGATATTATTATTAAGAATTGAAAAAAAAGCAGCTGACTTTGCTGACATGTTACTGGTTTTAACATTGACAGCAGTAGGTGGAGCTTTAAGGTTGGGGACCGTTAAGGTAACGTAATGGAAAGCAAGACCATAGACAAGGTGTTCAATCTTCAAAGGCAATTATACGTTAAAAACCTAATGAAAATAAGTCGACATCTCTTACTTAACTCTGAAAATGCATTAGCCTGTACACGTCAAAAATGGTAGTCAAATGACAAGCAGAATATGCTTATTAACGTCGCTACGGTTTTTTTTAAATCAAATTAGTGACCTTGTATTCACAGCTATCTAACATTTTACTTTAAATCCACAATCCCACACATGGCAGATGGCAACATTAGCCCTACTAAGCAAAATTATGGTGATTATACAATCATAACTGGTGGACCCTTTTTATTTTCATATAAAAATTAAATTAAAAATCATCACATTTAGCAATAAGTATATTCATAAAATCGTAACATTTACATAAACATTTAATAATGGATATATTGTTACTTTAATATTCTTCTATTTTATGATAGGTTGCAGTGTATTGTTCTAATTATTGCTTTGCATTAATGATAATTGCAAATTCAGGTTTCAATGAAGCTCCACCAACTAAAAATCCATCTATGTCAGGTTGAGCTGCCAGTTCCTTGGCATTGGCACCAGTTACTGATCCACCATATTGAATTCTTGTACTTTCTGCTACTTCAGGGCTTACAGTTTCCTTTAACCACTTCCTAAGAGCTTGGTGAACTTCCTGAGCTTGAGCAGGGGTAGCAGTTTTTCCTGTTCCTATAGCCCACACCGGTTCATAAGCCAATACCACATTAGACCTAAATTACATGCTAATCTTAAAAAAATTGGTTCTAGAGATAGATTAATAATAATGAGTCAATCACGCAGTTATAAAGCCGACCCTGATCTTTTGCGTACATAAGCAACTTCTAACTGCTTCACCGCTTACTATTATTCGGTTATCTCTTTTCGCTTTGTCTGTACTACTCATGATGCATTTCTTGAGTTAATAAGGGCGTGTTTAAAACGCAGCAAATGACTACTGTCTCAAGTGGAAAAAAGAAAGAAGACAAGTTATTGTGGACTTTGCCAGTTTTAATCGTCCCAACTATATTCAAATATAACTTAAACTTAACATTTCTAATTATGATTCCATAAACTTTGTTTCTGGTAACTTAAAATTGAAGCTTTTATCCACGAGTAACTCTATAGTATAATAAAACATTCAGAAATGTCGTTTCGGGAAACCTAGGAAAACTTTTGTCTAATAACTTCAAACTCACTCACTTTGACCAAGTTGTTAGATGTCATACAAATGAACCTTGACTAATGAATGTTTACTGCGGAAGAATTTCTGAGTTACACCCAATGACAAAATATTTATCTGTTGCTATAAGTTGCTAAGTACAAAATTCAAGTTATTAGCATACGCTACATATTGTCCTGTTGAAAATTTGGGTTTAGAAGAAATAGAGGAACGCCGGAGGCTATTTTAGCTTTACAAACCATACAAAAAGGAAAGTGTGCGTACATAGGATTTGTAGATTTAGTAAAAGCTTTTGACAATGTTACATGGGACAAAATTAAGGGATGAGTTACAAAAATAGAAGAGTCACACTTAGTTTGTATAAAGAGCAACAGGCAGTTATAGAACTGGGGCTGCAACGTAGAGAAGTAAATATTAGGAAGGGAGTCAAACAGGGATGCACACTGTTACCGCTACTTTTTAATCTATACATCGAATCGCGATCAACATCATTAAAGACAGTACAACTGTAGGGATAGATATACAGGGGCAAAAGGTTAGAATACTTAGATTTGCAGATGATATAGCAGTTTTAGCATCTAGCAAGGAGGAGTTAGAGAGATAGCTTTAAATAAAATGGAAGTGGTATTGACAAAACAGTNGAGTAAAAAATAAGATTATTTGTTATAAAAACAAATCTTTACTCAGAGTCACCTTTAAAAGATGAGTTCCTACACAGCCAACCTACTGGTCCTTTTTTAACGAATTGAGTACTTTTACTATGTCCTTCACCTTACTGTTACTTTAAATTACTTTGATTGTTTAGCACTGATAATTTGACCTCTGAGGATTTACTTTGAATAGGAAGCATATAGGAAGGTCATATATATGTATAACAAAGGTACATCCATAGATTGGTTATATCCTCGAGATAATGCTCTACGGAATAATTGTAATCGTTTTTACCAAAATGTTATAATTTATTAATTAACCGTTGGATATTAAACATTTAAAGTCTATTATCGTTCGCTCGCAAACACATTACAACCGATAACTACGTATAATTATCAGAATTTTGTCGGTTGATGTTACACGGGGACAGATACCTGAAAAGCTTTCTTTTTATTTTAGGGGAAGATGATGTGGTATGAGTTGGATAAGGAGACTATATATTATATTACGTAAATAACTTGTTACAAATAATGAAATAATGTTATCTGTGTGAGTAAGGCATGGATGAGCAGAGCAAGTGAAATGGTAAATTGGAACAACTTGGTAAAGACATCGGTAACGGTAGCCACTCACAGAGCCGCTGCGCAAACTGATAGGCTGCTGTAGGCTGCGCATCTATGCGCATTACGTAAGTGTAGCTTAGTCCGTGTTATAGAGATAAATTTACCAGAACCATAGATAATAGAAGTACAAAGAATTACAAGTATTGTTTTATCTATGAAGTATTGTTATGTAACGCCCCGGAGTGTGACACCTTATCTTCTTTACATATAATGGAATGGTATAAGTTACTAACATGATATAAAACTTGTGTGTAAAGTAAAATATATATAATAGTGATAAATAGAATATTTCTGTAATGATTTACATGCTTTACATGATCTACTGATTTTGAATTCACAGCGATCACAGCTCTCTCTACTACTTTTTTTTTTTAATTTTCTGGACGGTTTTCACATAGCATTGCATGTGAAGATTAGAAGTTTGGCTCATGTTACACTATAATCTCTTATCTATGGTGTAAACCATAGTTGACAGTATATATTTCTTTCATCTATGGTCATAGTATTATCTATGATCATAGCCATGTCGTCGTAGTAGTAACAACATTACGCATGTTGCGTAGTTGTCAATTTATTAGCAACAACAGTAGAGTGGTAGAAAGTTATTGTTATACCGATTGCTGTGCCTGTTGCAGAATTGTCCAGAATTAATATGTTTACCAAATCTCATTATTTACATATTCCATTTCTGTTATAATTATTACGTTGATAATTTGCGTCGTTTAGTGCAGTGCAGTGACTAACAATTCTGTACATTTTTAAACATTTTTTATTTTCATTCAAATTTTCCCTATTATAGCAAAATGGAATTTGTCACAGGTGATGAACGTGTTAATTCCGATTTTCCTTCATCTAGTACAGAAGATTCCCAAGACGCAATCAAAGGGATGCAGTCTACTTTCAATATTCAAAATGCTAGCACAACCAATTCCCCATCGAAAGAGAATTTGATTGTAAAAATACCTGATAGCAGAGTATCAATTGATTCAGAAACAGATTTCTTTAATGAAGATTTAAATATAAACAATGTGCCAAATGAAAAAATTGTTGGGGATGTTGAAGATATTGTACAGGATTTGGAAAATTTATTAGGTGAAGCAGATGAATTTGAATCAAAAATTAGTACCTCAGAAAATACAGAAAAATTAAATGATGGTTCTGTCCCACTCCCTTCTAAATTCAAACCTGCCAATAAAATAAATTTAATAATTGATCCAACTTGTATGGAAATGGAACATAAAAAAGGGTCATGTGGGATTACTTTTGACAAAAAGACAAAATCTTATAGTGAAGAAATAGCAAGTGATTCTGTGTGTATAAGTGAAAATGCTGAAATTATCCATTCCAGTGGTGATGTGTCTTTAGCAGTTGAAAATACAGATAAATTTAGTATCTGTTTAAATGCTGCGAAAGAAAAGGATGAAATTGAAAGAAAGGAAAATATTGCAGAGCTTAAATCAAAAATAAAGTTTCCAGAATGTGCAAGTCAAAATACTGATGAAACAGGAATTGATACTATCAAAATGGATGAAAATATTACAACAGACAATGATGATAAACAGTTTTATAAAGAAGCAAGGGAAGTGTATTTCGAAGGTGAAATTAGACAAGAATCAGAAGTTGTACAAGATAAAAACTTGGATGACGATAGTGTAATTTTTACATCTAATAATAAAATTTTATCTGTTGATAACAAAGCAGTAGAAACTCCAGAAGTGACAAGTAATGAAAATAATACTGGAGATACAACAGACGATATAGCTGATGATAATATAATAACTACTGAACAACGCCAGTCTTCCACTAAATTGGAAACACAAACAGTTTCTTCAAAAATTAATGAAGATGTGGGCTACATTAGAAATAGAATTACTAATGAAGGTAATTCTCTTAATGACAATGATTCATACTTGTCAGTTAAAACTACTGCACCAGATGAAACAATTCAAAAAGACAGGTAAAATTTTATGGTTGGGAATGTACATTAACTAATGTCTGTGATCCATGTGAATATGTACACACACATAAGTACTTACCTTTTTTATAATTGGCAAATTTGTACAGCAAACACTGATCGTGACTTGATGCTTGACTAATTACGCGATCTAATATTGAACTGTTTTGTTTAGTGTTATTTATTTCTTTAAAACAGCCCTTACTGATATCACAACCCATTGCTAGCTTATATTTGCACTTACATTTTTAAGCTATGAATATTAGAAAGAAACCTCATTAATCAATAACTAAATATTACCTACTCAGCAAAAGGAGCAAATTCAGGGAGATACACCCTGGTACGGTATAGAGATGTCCTTTATGATTAATCTATACTACCCACATTTGCTATTTTACTTTACTTGCTTGATAAGAAGGAGAAGGAATACCCGCGCGCTTCACAGGACGTAAATCGACATTTAGTAAATAGCTATTAGGCAATTTTCGCAGTTCAGAAAGGTTTGATCTTTCAGTTCAAATTCAATTCAGTTCACAGAAAAAGGCACTTTCAGTTTTTCTCGATTTTTCCATTTTTTAGGGCAACTTTCTAAATTTTTCCTTTCCTAAACACTTTATTCGAGCTATTGTAAAAATTTTAACCAAATCGGTCTAACTGTTCTCAGATGATACGCTTACCAATAAACATTTAATTTTTTATTTATACATATAGATAATATATTATTACATCATCAAAGTTTTTTTGTATATTAAAATCTACAATAAACATGAATTTATTTTAACGAAGATAAGTGTAAGGCATACATAAAATTTCAGCAACAAATTAAATATGCTAAGAAAAAATAACAAAATCTCAAAGAACAAAATGCAAACTCGGAAATATCAGTTGTCCTTAAATTTTCTTGTCATGGCATGAATAGTGCACTACATTTCCATTAGCATATCTTACCAATGCACTAAAAATAAAAGTTACGTATTTATATCGTAAAAATAAAGTCAGATTTAATTTCATTATCATAGTGTTATACTAATGCTATACTAAATTCGGAATAGTAAAACACAAGAAGATGACAGTGTCTCACGTTGATAAGTCTCACATTAGAAAAAGGCGAAACACGTGTCTACAGTGAACAAGTTTCGCGGTAATTAGGATGAGTGTCCTTCAAGTTTATTTATTTGACGACCTTATGATGATGATGATAACGGTTATTTTAAATGATTCATAAATACTTCTACAGTATTACAACTTAAAAAAAAAATACAACGTGTAATTATACAACACGCTACTGAAGTGAAACTTCTTGAAACACCCAAACATACAACAGGCCGGAGTTGCTTGTAACGAACGTTACATTGAAGCGCGCTCACGGCTCAAGCGATCCCCACTACGAACTCGAATACGTGGCCGCGTAGAGGCGGGACATCCGTTGCATGATTTCGTTACGTAGCAACTCGCATGAAACGAACTTACCCTACCGTGCGTAAAAAAGTTTCACTTCAAAAAAACAAATTGCATTACTTACTGCTTAATGGTCGTATTTCAATAATTACCTTTGATGACTAAATCGTTTCTTGCAGACTGGGCAAATATTAAGATCGGTGATTACAACGCATTGACTTTGTAATCTCAAACGAGCCTCCTGACCCTGCAGATGTTGGGCGTATAATAATCCCTTTAACAATTGAACAGTTCTCCGTACGTGTAGAGATTTATGCAATGCGGCCGACAAAAATTGAAAGATGCGAGTTGCTAATACGTTATCAGGTATTATTTGCAAAGCTGATAAAGGATCGATCTTAGATGCATGTTCTTCCATTAACTTTAGAGCCATTTCTAAATCAGGTTGAGCAGTAAGTGGGGACAATGTTAATCCCGGAAGATCCAAAATTACGTCATTTGGATTTAATACCAGTTTTATAAGACAAACATAAACCTACAAAAACCACAAATATACTCAACGTATGCATATAATGTGCATTACAGTTTTTGTAACTTTAGAAAATACTCATTAAATCAAACTATAACATTTTAAAAACGGTAGAAAGGGGACATGTTTTCATGGGTGTAGGAAGTACTTTACTTCAAGAGACGCAAAAATAATCACAATTAACTTTTCACATACACATACATATATTCGTACTGCCTATTCTTCAAATGCTACAAAAAGAAAACATTAAAAAACTAACATCAATTTTATATTTATTTTGAAAGACTCCCTGAGCACATTTTTTTTTAATTTTCTCTAACAATGAGCTAGCTGAGAGAAGAGGTGTAAACGTGTCTCATTTACCATCTCCATGTACGTTAGGTACTAACTCTTCTACTGATTTTCTGGGGGATTTTTTGTAAAATACATATAAGAACATATTAATTTTGTACCTTTTTTGCATTCTCGTTCTTATTGAAAACATTTTCGCAATATTTTATCGCTTTCTGTACGTCGCCAAGCGCTCTAACGTAAATAGCCAATGCATCTTCGTGTCGACCAAGTTTTCCCAAAACAATAGCGCGTTCTTCCAATAGTCGATCATTCGGAAAATGCATTAAGACCATATCGGGTGTGTAATTAGATGACGTTTCCAAAAAGTAGAGCAATTTTTTTTTAGCAATCTCCGCAGAAGGATTGTCACTTAATGATTGTTCGCGGTATTGGTGTATTAAGGCATTGTGAAAAAGAGGATTTTTATCACCCCATATGTGAACAACGTGTTCTAAATATGGAATTACTAACGTAGGATGAGAACGTAAAAGATAATCTAACACTCGAGGCCTGGGTAAAGCTTCCACTTCTGCCAAATCTTCTGTAAAAATCTGCAAAGATATGGATAGTATGTAATGATCATGTGTGAATACTATAACCGTGATTTCGTTATTTTGAATCGACTAAACACTAAGCGATATCCGTGCCCACCAAATTCTCCATCTTACCTTTAACCCGTCTTCAGCAGCTTCTTTAAGAACCCAATCGGAAAATTCTAAAATCAAACCCATCTGTTCTACACCAAGGTGCTGCAGATAAGCAATCGTCCTTTCAATTCCCCCTTCGCTGTTTTGTAACAGTTCGAGAGCTTTTCTGTGCTGCCCTTTAGTTTGATATAATATAATAAGTTCATTATGTTTTCCGTGCTTTTTTAACGTTCTTTCTGCTTCCGCAAGATGACAATGATTAAGTCGTAATAATGGCGCAACCAAAACGTCGTTGGTTTGCAAATAACATTTTAAAAGGGTTGTATCAATGATCTGAAGTAACTGCTGACTCGTTTTATTTGTAACAATTTGATCATTTAATTTACCACTAGCGTTCATACCTGCCTAAAATAAGCATTATTGAAGTAGACATTAAATTATTTTGGTTTCTATACACGTATACGTTCTTTTGCTAACCTCCGATTCCACGTGCACTAAATAACGTTTTTCTGTGAGATACTCAATAAGTGCAAGTAGTCCTCTTTCCAACTCACTATCGGAAAGGTTTCCTACATATTCTAATTTAGTTGTCTCTCCAGATTGTTGCGGTAATAATTCTGGGAATAAACGTATTACGTCGTACGGGTCTGTGCGTAATTTCAAAAATTGCTGCATGCTCTCATGAAATGCCTTATTTCGAAATAAATCATAGGCTAAGAGGGTTTGAATTTGGTGCTTCTTTTCATCCTTATCTTCTTCCGATTCATTTGAAACTTCCTGTAAATTATAGTTCATATTTATATAACAATCGGAATAGCAGATGAAATCCTTTGAAAGGGAAAATAAATGAATCATTCTTTTGAATTTACCGTTAATTTTAAAGCAAGTTGAAATTGTTTTTCTTTTAGAAGTTGTTGCCTTTGTTGACTAATTTCTATTGCATGTAAACACCAAATGTGACTAACAGAAGACACATAAAGCAAGCCTTGTTTACAAAACGTTATTAATCGAGCCTTCGGTAAATTGCTAAACTTTTGAACTAAACCACCAGGATCAATTGTTTGAACCTAAAACATAATCAAAAGGTAACTTAAAATAAAGGAATAACATCCCATTATTATTTTAGTACATTTACATTATTGGCGAGATAAATCAAATAATATGAAAAATTCAATTTTTACCTCTATGCCTTCTGGTAAAATTCCTATAACATACGGTTTATCCCAGGCCATTTGTATGGGAATGTCTGACCATCTTAAAGCTTTAGTTTTTTCGGGAAGTCCCTCTACATTTACAAGCACTGTTTGTGCATCCCTTCCAAGTGCAAATATGGTATTTGATACTTTCATTGCACAGGGATCGTTAGATCTGCTACTACTGGTTGGAAAAAGTTCTTTTTTTGTTCCATCCAACTTTTAAATACAACACTAATGTAATATCGCTCAGAATCTAAACTCTTTTACCAATGTTAGCAAACTTACATCAAATAGTAGATATTCTCCTTTAAATCCTACACAGATCGTTTCACTACACCATACCAATGCTTTTGGAATATCAGTCAACATTATATCATCGGCAAGCTTCATAAAAACATCTTTCTTCCAATAATACAACTGTAATTTTCTTTTAACCGCTACGCACATTCGAATTACATGACTTACTTCACCAGTTAAAGATGTCTCTTTCTAAAATGTAACCGTGATCAAACTTACTAGCCTGTCACTTTACTTTTGACACTAACTTGGTATACAGTTCATTTTTCTTACCTTACTATCTAATGTAAAGATCATGGCTCCTTTAGTTCCTGCGACTTGGGTAATTACTGGCAAATTGCTGGACTTCATGTCATTTACTTGTATAAAGTTATCTGTAAATGTAAAATAAGTTAAAATTTTCAAAAATTATTCGTTTTATAGAAGATACGTTTTTTGAAATAAAGTAAAATGAAACATGAGTAAATACAATAATAGGTATTGTTTTATTTATTTGGTTAACGCCTTTAGAAAACAAGAAAAAAGTAATATATTACAATTAGATATGGTATATTTATAAAAAACTAAGCCTTCAAATGTAAAAATTAGTTTCTTAATGCAATATTGTCCTTGGTATCACAAATCTTGTTGCAAAAAATATAAAATGCCCTTATAATACAACTNGTCCTTGGTATCACAAATCTTGTTGCAAAAAATATAAAATGCCCTTATAATACAACTATTTATATCTCTTCCTTTGTTATTTACCATAATTCGCAATATCATACGAAAAGATAACTACCTGTTAAACTGACCAACAGATTATACTCTGGTATTACTTCCAGTTGTTGAATTGATTTTTTACTAAATGTTTTTAGATAACACGTTAGCTCTACTTCATATTTGTCATCATTAGAACAATTAACTCGATATACATAAAGATATCCCTGTCTTGTTCCAACTATTAAATTATCATCTAAAAAAAATGATCGATTTGGAATAGAATGTTGCACATATATTCATATATTTAAATTGATTGATTAAATAATTACCGAAAGCAACAACTGATTCTATTTGAACTGGTAAATTTAACAGCGGCGATATGCAATACGCTTCGTGCATTTTTAAACATTGACATTAAAAACTATTTCCAAATTAACTTGTAGTGGTAGTTACGTATCAATTTCACTTATAAATTTATTTATTATTATGAACGACAATGATCATCAATACCCTATTGTTGAAGCTTCGTAAAAAGCCTCATCATTATTACCATAGATATTATTATTAAGAATTGAAAAAAAAGCAGCTGACTTTGCTGACATGTTACTGGTTTTAACATTGACAGCAGTAGGTGGAGCTTTAAGGTTGGGGACCGTTAAGGTAACGTAATGGAAAGCAAGACCATAGACAAGGTGTTCAATCTTCAAAGGCAATTATACGTTAAAAACCTAATGAAAATAAGTCGACATCTCTTACTTAACTCTGAAAATGCATTAGCCTGTACACGTCAAAAATGGTAGTCAAATGACAAGCAGAATATGCTTATTAACGTCGCTACGGTTTTTTTTAAATCAAATTAGTGACCTTGTATTCACAGCTATCTAACATTTTACTTTAAATCCACAATCCCACACATGGCAGATGGCAACATTAGCCCTACTAAGCAAAATTATGGTGATTATACAATCATAACTGGTGGACCCTTTTTATTTTCATATAAAAATTAAATTAAAAATCATCACATTTAGCAATAAGTATATTCATAAAATCGTAACATTTACATAAACATTTAATAATGGATATATTGTTACTTTAATATTCTTCTATTTTATGATAGGTTGCAGTGTATTGTTCTAATTATTGCTTTGCATTAATGATAATTGCAAATTCAGGTTTCAATGAAGCTCCACCAACTAAAAATCCATCTATGTCAGGTTGAGCTGCCAGTTCCTTGGCATTGGCACCAGTTACTGATCCACCATATTGAATTCTTGTACTTTCTGCTACTTCAGGGCTTACAGTTTCCTTTAACCACTTCCTAAGAGCTTGGTGAACTTCCTGAGCTTGAGCAGGGGTAGCAGTTTTTCCTGTTCCTATAGCCCACACCGGTTCATAAGCCAATACCACATTAGACCTAAATTACATGCTAATCTTAAAAAAATTGGTTCTAGAGATAGATTAATAATAATGAGTCAATCACGCAGTTATAAAGCCGACCCTGATCTTTTGCGTACATAAGCAACTTCTAACTGCTTCACCGCTTACTATTATTCGGTTATCTCTTTTCGCTTTGTCTGTACTACTCATGATGCATTTCTTGAGTTAATAAGGGCGTGTTTAAAACGCAGCAAATGACTACTGTCTCAAGTGGAAAAAAGAAAGAAGACAAGTTATTGTGGACTTTGCCAGTTTTAATCGTCCCAACTATATTCAAATATAACTTAAACTTAACATTTCTAATTATGATTCCATAAACTTTGTTTCTGGTAACTTAAAATTGAAGCTTTTATCCACGAGTAACTCTATAGTATAATAAAACATTCAGAAATGTCGTTTCGGGAAACCTAGGAAAACTTTTGTCTAATAACTTCAAACTCACTCACTTTGACCAAGTTGTTAGATGTCATACAAATGAACCTTGACTAATGAATGTTTACTGCGGAAGAATTTCTGAGTTACACCCAATGACAAAATATTTATCTGTTGCTATAAGTTGCTAAGTACAAAATTCAAGTTATTAGCATACGCTACATATTGTCCTGTTGAAAATTTGGGTTTAGAAGAAATAGAGGAACGCCGGAGGCTATTTTAGCTTTACAAACCATACAAAAAGGAAAGTGTGCGTACATAGGATTTGTAGATTTAGTAAAAGCTTTTGACAATGTTACATGGGACAAAATTAAGGGATGAGTTACAAAAATAGAAGAGTCACACTTAGTTTGTATAAAGAGCAACAGGCAGTTATAGAACTGGGGCTGCAACGTAGAGAAGTAAATATTAGGAAGGGAGTCAAACAGGGATGCACACTGTTACCGCTACTTTTTAATCTATACATCGAATCGCGATCAACATCATTAAAGACAGTACAACTGTAGGGATAGATATACAGGGGCAAAAGGTTAGAATACTTAGATTTGCAGATGATATAGCAGTTTTAGCATCTAGCAAGGAGGAGTTAGAGAGATAGCTTTAAATAAAATGGAAGTGGTATTGACAAAACAGTATTGTATAAAAAACGGTTTATTTAGAAATTCGAAAAAGATTGTTAAAGGTGTATGTTTGGAGCGCGACGCTGTACGGATGCGAAACATAGACGATGGGCTCGGAAAAGAAAAGGTTAGAAACATTTGAAATGTGGTGTTACAGGCGAATGATGAGGATACCGTGGATAGAGAAGGTTAAAAATGAGAACGTATTAGAAAGAATGGGAGAACAGAGGACTCTATGGAAGTCAATCAGAGACATATGAGAGACAGAAACGGGAGTTAGGAGGGGTAGGGGTAGATCTAGATTAGATTACTGTTCGCAAATAGTTAAGGCTGTGGGTTGTTCTAGTTTTAGGGAAATGCGAAGATTAGCTCAGGATAGGAAAGAGTGGAGGTACGTGTCCAACCAGTCTTAGGACTGATGACCTTATGATGA